CGAAACCCTAATCCACCTTGAGTGATCTTGAGCTATTTCTTTCCAATTTGAATGTTATTTGTGCCTTTTGAAGCTTGTGGAAGAATAAGAAGATAGAAGGCTCAAGGGGGAAGAAGTAGATCCATGAACTACACTTCATTTGCTACATTTTCTGGTAATCAAGTCTCTAACTTGATCATTCTTCTCTTAGATCTATTTGTTTCCATTTTATGAAGGTTTTGGTTCAAGAACCTTGGTCCTTAGGATTGGGACGTCCTAAGTGACTTATATCTCAGATATGGGGTCTAGGAAGGGTTCCATGGCATAAAGGTGCAAACTTTATGACCATGGAAGCCCTATGCAAGCTTGTATGCAAGAACATGGCCTTTTTAGCCCTAAAAGATCATGCATGAAAGGAAAGCTCGGGACTTTACGTATCCAACAGATCATAAAAGCCTAGATCTAGTATATTGTGCCTTGGTTTAGGGTGTTATGGCTTGTGGACCAAGATTTATGTCTTAAAGGAGTTAGGGTTTGGGTTAAACCCATTAAGAAGGACTAAGGATGGATAAAGTTGGAAACTTTACCCTTAAGAGTGTATTCCTAGTATGTAGATGAAGTTTGGAGCATAGATCTGAAAGGTAGGAGCTTAATCCTTTGGGATGGCTCAATCAAACAGGGGAACTAGGCAAGTCCAGGGAAGGACTCGAAAAGTTGAAGCGGGCTGTCTCGATTATTATGATAGGAAGAACTCGACGAGTCTATAAAGGGACTCGACGAGTTGACTCAGTCAACCACGAGTTTAAGCATTACAGGGACTCTCCGAACTGGGAGATAACTCGACGAGTTGGGTTGACTGGGAGTCGACCTTGACTTTGACTTTGACCAGGACGTTGACTTTGACCAGGGGTAAAATGGTCATTTTACCCTAAGGAGGATTATCAGATTTTGACTAAGTATTATTGTGATTTTGATAGTCTGGGAGACGTGGGAGCAGCTATCAGATATTCCTCACTGCGATATTTCACAGACAGCTTTGCAAGGTGAGTTTTCTCCTATAGGAACGTGTCTAAGGCACCAAGGCTGGCCCGTTTAAGTTAGTAGTAGTTCCGGATTACAGTCCAATGTCGGGCGTGGCCCGATGTAGAGTTATATGTTTTTCTGGATCTCGATCCGATGTCGGGTCGGTCCCGAGGAATGCTTGTATGTTTGTATGCTTGATGTCTTTGTGATTCTTGCATGTATGTGTTATGTGTTAGGAGTTCTAGACTTCGGTTTGATGTCGGGGCAAGCCCGAGGATTGTCTAGTTAGTATGTATGATAGCATGTTTCCGGACTCCGGTCCGATGCCGGGGCGGTTCCCAAGGAATGTTAGTATGCTTCCAGATTTCAGTCCGATGTCGGGGTAAGCCCGAGGAATGTCTTGTTAGTAGGATATGATAGTATGTTTCCGGATCTCGGTCCGATGCTGGGTGGGACCAAAGGAAGCTTTTCATGTTAGTATATGTGCTATGTTATATGTTAGTTGATATGTTATTATGTATGCCGAGATCTGCTCGATGTCGGGCAGGGCTCGATGTCGGGCAGGGCCCGATGCCGAATAGAGTTCGATGTCGGGCGGGGCCCGATGCCGGAAAAGCCGATGCCGAGCTAGACTCGATGTAGCATGGGCGGGGCCCAAGATATGTTATATGTTACGTGTATGGTATGTGGTAGTTTGGGGAGACTCACTAAGCTTCGTGCTTACGGTTTTCAGTTTTGGTTTCAGGTACTCCCACTAGCAAAGGGAAGGGCTCGGGATGATCGCATGACACACACCACAGTTTCAGCCTGGGATTGTTATTAGACTCTGATATTTTCTCATATGATTTCGATATAGTATTTGACATGATGTTTTGAGATACATGGTTCTTGATTTTCTTTATGATGATAGATGATTTATGGTTTTTGATAATGATTTAAAACGAAATTTTTGGGTTGTATTTTTGGAATGTTTCATGCGAAAGTGTTTGGTGGATGATTCTGCAGTTGTACCCTTGGGGGATATTCAGGTGGATGACCGTCTGAATTATGTTGAGAAACCAGTGGCGATATTAGATTGGAAGACAAAAACCTTGAGGAACAAGGTAGTAGAGCTAGTGAAGGTGCATTGGCTGCATCGCAAGGGGTCGGAGTGGACTTGGGAGCCCGAGGAGGAGATGATGGAGCATTACCCAGGATTGTTTGAGACAGCGGACTTCGAGGACGAAGTCTGATTCAAGTGGGTGAGAATTGTAATGCCTGGTTTTTGGTATGATTTTATTTACAGCTATTGCATTTTTCCTGGAGGAATCGTCGAGTTGAAAGCCTCAATTCGACGTGTTGAAGTTTTTTTGGCCACGAAGTTTAATGAGTCAACTCGACGATTTGAGGTGCCTTAATTCGGCGAGTTGGCAGCATGGGAGGAAACCCTAATTTTAGGGTTTTGCACCCTATTTAAACACCTTAAGTCCCAGGTGTTGGCCTCATATCCAGCCTCCATAGCCCCTAACCCTAATCTCAAAACCCTAAAGCCTCTTTGAGTGTTGTGAGCTTATTGTGGGTGTGTTTTGGTGTGTTTTAAGCTCATTGAAGGAAGAGAAGCTTGGTGCAAGGTGGTGATTCAAGTAGGAGCCTTCAGATCTTGATTCTTTGCACCATTTCCAACATATTTCGGGTATAAAGTTCTAACCTTGCTTAATATTTGATTAGATCTCTTTTTGGGTTAGTTTAGATGCTTTTAGTCATGTTTGGGTGGTTGATGGGTCTGTAGGACGTCCCGAGTGCTATTCTTTCAGATCTATGATCCTCATGAGCTCTTTTGGCATAAAGGTGCCAACTTTATGGTCTTAAGGGCTCCATGCATTCATTAAGTCCATCTTATGGCTTCTTTTGAGCATTTGAGCTTCTTCTAAGCATACTTGAAGGTAAAGTTGGAAACTTTACGTGGTATTTCATCTTTTTGGGCCAGATCTACAGTTTGGGGTTATGCCTTTGGTGATTTAGTGCTTAATGATTAAGTCCTTACCTTGTTAAGCCTAGGGTTTGGGTTTTGAACCCATTTTTGTGGTTCTTAGGGGTAAAGTTGGAAACTTTACCCTTCATGAAGCCATTTTAGTTAAAATCTAAGTCATGAAGCTCTTATTTTCGTTAAGTACGGCTTAATGGATTAAGATGTTGAATTTCTGGCGAACTCGACGAGTTTATGGAGGAACTTGGCGAGTTGGATCGGTTTCTTCCCGACTGTGCAGGCTTATGGATAAACTCGGCGAGTTTATCGATGAACTCGGCGAGTTGGGTCAACTCGGATTATTGACTTTGACTTTGACTTTAGTCTTTGACCAAGTTTGACCTATAAGGGGCTTTTGGGCATTTTGTGTTGAACTTAAGGAAATCTTTTATGTTAGGGGTTGAGTATAGTAGATATGCGGAGTCGGGATCCGTTCAGCTACCTTTTTGTATTCGAGGTGAGTTTCCTTATCGGGTTTAGCGGGTTGAATGCACCAAGGCCAGCCCATGTTTATATTATGTTGTTAGTATGCTAGTTGTCTTTGTGTCTCTTGCATGTGTTTGTGTTTATATGTCTTCCGGGCTAAGGCCCGATGCCGGGCGGGGCCTGATGGATATATGTATGTTATGTATCTCTGTGATTATTGCATGTGTATGTGTTTATTTTGATATATGTTATTGTATGTTGGGTGGGGCCCGTTTTACCGAGCTCAGCTCGATTTCGGGTGGGTCCGATGCCAGGCGGGGCCCACTATATGTTTATTGTATATTTGGTATGTGGTATTTTAGGGGAACTCACTAAACTTTGTGCTTACGATTTTTAGTTTATGTTTCAGGTACTTCCGGTTGTAAAGGGAAGAGCTCGGGTTGACTACATTGCACACACACCATTGAGATTCCGCTATGATGTTTTACTCTGATGTATGATAAATTGATACATTGGTTTTATTCATGTGTTTGGATGTTATGGGAAATTATTATTTTATTTATTATTAAATTGAAATTTTTGCGACTATCTTTATGTATTCGAGGTGAGTTTCCTTACCGGGTTTAGCGAGGCGAAGGCACCAAGGCCGGCCCATGTTTATATTATGTTGTTAGTATGTTAGTTGTCTTTGTGACTCTTGCATGTGCTTGTGTTTATATGTCTTCTGGGCTAAGACCCGATGTCGGGCGGGGCCTGATGGATATCTGTATGCTATGTATCTCTGTGATTATTGCATGTGTATGTGTTTATTTTGATATATGTTATTGTATGTTGGGCGGGGCCCGTTTTACCGAGCTCAGCTCGATGTCGGGCGGGGCCCGATGTCGGACGGGGTTTGATGTCGGGCGGGGCCCACTATATGTTTATTGTATGTTTGGTATGTGGTATTTTGGGAAACTCACTAAGCTTTGTGCTTACGATTTTTAGTTTATGTTTCTGATACTTCCGGTTGTAAAGGGAAGAGCTCGAGATGACTGCATTGCACACACCATTGAGATTCCGCTATATATATATATATATATATATATATATATATATATATATATATATATATATATATATATTAATTTGGTGTTCCCTTAGGAACAGTAGGTTTTTGAAGTGTTGGACTTTGGCCACACATATTTGAGGCATTTGTCACTTTTAGTCCCTTTAATTAAGGGTTTTAATTTTGGTCCCTTCTGGTCAATACTTGGTCAATGGCTGGTGGTGGGTGTGTGGACTCTAATTTGACGTGTCCCACTTCTCCTTCTCCACCGCCTTATTCTCCAATCGAATGCTTACACAGCTCATTCTTCACCGATGTGCCTTTGACCCACAAATGTCCATTTGCAATATCTTCATTTCACGAACTTCCAATTTTCATTTTAGTTTTCCATCTTTTAGGGTTTTGTAGGGTTGGGAGTTTAGGGTTTACACGGATAATCTTCATTTGGGAAAAAATTGGGAGCACTGAAGAGAGGCGAAGTGGTGTGTCTGCAAGTGTGCATAGCTATAAAACGAAACAATGCGGTTGTTTCCGATGAATTCGTCTAGAGAGCTTAGAAATGGAGGAAGTGATCATGCTTTGTTGTATCTCAACGTATATGATCTCACCCATGTCAATAACTACCTGTACTGGTTGGGCTTCGGAATCTTCCATTCTGGTATCGAAGGTAAACTAATTCCAAATTCAAAATTCAAAACGACTGAATATATATCATTTGAATTCGATTTCTTCTAGATTCTATTCAACTCCCTTATAATCATAGATACGTCTGACTTTCAATATTGCTATCAGATTCTGGAATTGATAAACTAACCTAATCGAGAAAAAAATTAATCTGATTCTCAACTTTCATTATTTCTATCAAAATCTAAGTTTTGATTTCAAGTTTTTGCTACATCAAGTAAACATATGTTTCTAGATCTCCATAATCTACTCCTATCTGAGATTCAACAATCAACATTACCAATTTCTACTCCTATCAAGATAATCATTGAATTGGATTCGAATCAAGTAATATCTTTTACATTATGATATGCTAATCAGTATATGACATGGAATATGCATTTGGAGCACACGAGTACCCAACCAGTGGAGTCTTTGAAGTGGAACCGAAAAGCTGCCCGGAATTTATCTTCAGGCGTTCAATTCCTTTGGGCATCACCAACATGTCTCCTTCAGAATTCTGGTAATTCATGGAGCATCTTTCTAATAAATATTATGGTGATACTTATCATTTAATAGCAAAAAACTGCAATCATTTCACAAATGAAGTATTAATGCGACTCACTGGAAAACCAATCCCCGGTTGGGTCAACCGGTTGGCTAAACTCAGTAAGAAATTATATCCTTCTCCATTCATTTATATCATTCCACTTTGAAAGATTCAAGTTTTGTAGATTTTTTTATTTACTTCGAACAGGTTCTTTCTGCAACTGTTTATTGCCTGAAAACATTCAAGTTGCAGCTGTTAGACATCTACCTGATCATGCAACAATTTCTGGTGAGATTTGATTACATTTTTGGACAAATTACAGAAATACCCTTATATTTTAGGTGGTTTTGTAGTAAAAATTGTTGTTGAAAATTGAAACAAATGAAGAATTAGATTCTGGTGATTCATCTTTAACAATGGGGAGTGAAGAAGATGAAGTGGATGATGATCATCATCATCATCTTTTGACTGAATCGAATAGTGATGTGGCAATTTTGGGATTAAAATATTTTGCATTTCAACTACAACTTATATCTTCAAATAATGTTGATTTGATATGTTGTCTTCAATTTTTCATTTGCAGGCATCAAGAGAGGTTCAGGGTAGCAGATGCATATTCCATTTGAAGAGTGATCTAAGTTTATGATCATATTCACTTCTGCATATTGATTGATAGATAAATGTACAACACAATCTTTGCAATTCGGATATATAGATTTAAAATAATCATTTTACTTTTTTGTTGAAAGATATATTTTAGAAGTCCAAAATGCCCTTGAAGTATGTGAATACCATCTGTCGGCTCATGACATGAGCACGCAAGAAGTTGTGCCTAGAAAAGTTTATCATCAATCAACAATCTCAAGGCTAGATGCCAATGGAAGATAAGCTCAACCCTTGCTAATCAATTAGAAACTGTATAGTACTGGTTCTTTTTTTTTACATTTAAATCTGATTTACTCTATGAACAGTGAGTAGTAGATAACAATAATATGACTCTTTACAGAGCTTCCCGACCCATGCAAAGCATGGGTCTCTTTCTAGTTTAACATAAAAAAAAACAATTTTTTTTCAACAGTTGATTAATGATTAGTACAAGGAAACAATTTTGATTTATGTAGAAGGTTTGGCTTAGCTTTTGAACACTACTCAAAGTAAATTATCTCTTCAAGAACAAACATCAATGAAACTTTTTTATAAATTTGAAGTTGCGCCCAGGTAAAAAATAATTGAGATTTACTATAATAATATAGAATTTATTATAGTCAATCTAAGCAAAATATTTTTTAAGATAAATTGGACGTGATCTAAAACAAGAATTCTCAAGGCTATAAAATCGAACTCAAAACTTCTCATTTTATCATTATATAATTGAACAAATAATTATTAGGGTACTTAGGGTTAATGATTCAACTTAATCAACCATCTATCAATATTTAACCAACCAAAAGAAAAACAAGTATATTTTTTCCCATCAAGGGAATGTAACCCAGCTATGATTCCACGAATAACAATGAATCATACAAAAATCTTTTTAAAGTTAATGTAAAAAAATGGTATACTCCATATCGGTCACAACCAATATGAGGGAGGTAAATCACAATATCCACAGAGCAGAGCAAGGAAGTAATGCCCAAACTTAAACACGTGAGACCCCTCGGATGGATTTTCACCTCCTTACCATGGTCAAAGTGTAAACAAACAAACTTGTCCGTTTACACTGCGACTTGGTCACAGTCGGGTGAGATTGAGATCTCACCCGACTAGACAGGCGTTTCATCGCCACCAATCAGGCACTTTTAATCTTTGAGTTCTATGTACCGCAAGTCTTTCATCCGGAACTTTATGTCGTACTTGTCTCCATATCATATTAACCGCGTCGTCTTTTTTTGGAGGGTACTGATATTCATAATGATGTGTGATTTCTTTTAGTATTTTCCACATTTGAAGCCATTTTTCTTTTGGGATTTTGCGGAGTTGTTGGACCATGTATCCGGGAACTAATGCCTCTTTCACAGAGAAAAAAATTGAAAATTTATTGTAGTCTAATTCGTCCTCAAATGGTAGCTCGATTTGGTCACTCACAATCACGGGGACACAATGGCTTACAATAGCATCAAATAGTCTGTTTGAGGAAGGAGTGTCGCCAGCTGGATTTAGACAAAATTTCGATGACCGCATCCCTTGAGATGACTGGTGCACCAAAAATCAATTCAGAACAGACAATTTTGTACTGTGTTTAGTGTGCATTGGACTGGTGTCAATACAACAAACATTGGACTACAAGATGATAAAATTATTCCACATATAGTTATATAAATAAAAACCAATAAAATTATTATATAATCGTTATGAATTATATTGATATTAAAGGAACTTACAGCTTTGATACTTTCTCCTGTAGCATAGCTGGCTTCATAGTGAACATCATTGTAACCATTTAGTATCTTTTCCAACTTAGCACGTACAATACCTTCCTGCACATCACATTATTGACAATTTAATTTACTTTATTTCTTGAAAAAGAAAGAAATTTGTTAAAGTTTGTTGATTACATACAGATTTTCTCACTGTTCTCCCACGAAAGAAAAGAAGGGTAGTACGTGAATTGTAAGGATCTGGAACATCATCATCCAAGAAAGACTCCATTACATGCATATAAGGGGCAACAACGTCTTTTCGCAGATTGGACATGACTTTAGAGTACCTCCCAAAATCTGCAACTATAAGAATGGATGCATTCACCTCTTCACGGAGAAACCTGAAAGCATTGGGGTGATGCATTGGGATTACATGATCTCTTCCACCTGTTCTTTGCCAATAAGTAGATTGCCGTAAGAACTTAAGGATGTCAACCTGTAATCACAATTCATAACCATCATGTTCAGCTCCTTGATGAGTAACAAGTTTTGGGGATTCAGTTGTACAAACTCTACTGAATGGGATTCAATCATTAATTAACTAATCTGCTTCAGCAAGACCTAAAGCTAAGAATTACAGAGTTGAAAATGGAAGATCAGAAATGATCTACCATTATTTGATCTGTTTCAGTAAAAAAGAAACATTTTTTGAGATGAAATCTAGTGTTCAAATTCAAAGTAAATCACAACATTCTTCAATTCATTTGAAGTTTTCATCTACAAGAAATCAAATCATTATGAAATCGAAGTTGAAATACACTGCGTACGATATTCATAATCAAATATACAGCTGTTTTGAGTAAGGGAGGCGTAGATCATATCATAATGTGCTTAAATTTTAGGTCACAATCAAACAGTGAGAAATAACTACAGCTATATGATTAAGTATATCGATTGATTCTTACCTGCAATTGCCTGTCAATCTCAGTATCAGGATCCGTCATGTTCTTCCCGTGCGTATTGAAACTCAATGAAGAAAAAAAAGGTACGAAGAACACGTCCGCTGCCTCCGGATCCGAAACCCTAACCGCCTCACTACTTTCAGCCTTCGAACAGTTTTCACACAATAGCGACGCCATCATCCAATACTCTACACTATGCTGTTGCTTTAACCCCGAATTTCGCGGCCACGGCGGCAGATTCCTGGATGTCACCGGAGAATTATCATCTCCTCCGGCGAATTTCCTGCTCAACATAGCAACATTAAACCTCTTCGGCAGATCATACATGAAAACTCTGAGCGGCGACCCGGTGCGGCAAGGTATAACAGTGTCATTTCTGGTAGATGATAGGAAAGAGAATTGAGATCTAAGATCAACTGTTCCAATTCCTCCTCCTAAACCTCCAATCGTGATAAAGTACGTAATGAAGATGATGCTTAAGAAGATGACGAGTGATACAACTGATTTACCAATCATTTTTGTGGCTTAAATCCAAAAGGTTTCTTCGTTTGCATATATACATCTCCAATTATGTAGATTTAGTCAAAAAGTGAGAGAGTTTGTGTGTGTTTTTGAAGGAAAGAAGGTTTCGCATAGAAGGAACGTGTGGAGAAAAGGGGAAGACTCGAGCGGTGTGTTGACGAGTCACGGTGCTTTCCTGTTTATTGAATGGTGTGCGGATCCGCCATTAACGAAGAGGATCTTGCTATGTGAGTTGTTTATTGGTGCAAAAGCAATCAGATTTGTCAAGACCAACAATCAGACCAGAAACAGAACACAAAATAGATAAAAGATAAAAATGGTCCGTTTGCCAAAAGTAACCAAGTTAGTTACTGTTAATTTTTTTTTGATGCAAATAGCCCCTGTGGTTTGCAAAACTTGCATAGATGGCCTTTTTTACTAACGGCGTTAGTATTAAGCCGTTAGGGACTTAATTAGCAAAGGTATTTTCGTCTTTTCAGGTATAAAGGGACTAGATTCGCAACATTAAACCACAGGGACCATTTTTGAAATTTGTTTGAAAAACACAATTAAAGGGCTAGGGGAGGGCTCGAACTGGAGACCTCCGTCCCCTTAATGTACCAAAGCCTTCACCAATTGAGTTGCATGCTCTTTCGGATATTTAATTCCTAAAACTAACTTATATAATATCAAATCGTTAAAATATAAACAATATATAAAGTACAAAAAACTTTTTTTTTCTAATTTTTTTTAAATAAAACAAAATGTACATTAGTTTAGTTGTATTATATAAAAAAAAAATTTTTTTTACAAACATACAATTTAGAACTTTGCGATTAAGATGAAATACGTATTTTAAATAAGATATATATCCGAATAGGTTTTTTATGTTTTTTAAAATACATATAACCGAATATGTATTTAAAAAAACGGTTTTCAAAAAACCGATTGGACCAAACCAAAACATATTCGGCCGATTTTACCTTCTAATACAGCGTAATAACATTTTTTAATACATATAATCGAAAAAATAGTTTTAATACTAGCGACCCAAAAGAATTTATACATTTTATTATGTCATGAGTAGTGTTAATTATTATTATTTCAAAGACATAAAAAAATATATTTTACAAAAACGTATTTTTTAAAAACAAAAAAATATATATTTTACGTAAAATAAATACATAAAAATACATACAAATTGTTTGTAAAAAAATATTTTTTTTATATAATACAACTAAACTAAAGTACATTTTGTTTTATTTAAAAAAAATTAGGAAAAAAAAGTTTTTTGTAATTTATATATTGGATATATTTTAACGATTTGTTATATTATATAAGTTAGTTTTAGGAAAGAAAAAACAAAAAGAGCATGCAGCTCAAATGGTGAAGGCTTTGGTACATTAAGGACATGGAGGTCATGAGTTCGACAAGGACCTGTGGTTTAATGTTGCGAATCTAGTCCATTTATACTTAAAAAGACGAAAATACCCTTACAGATTCAGTCTCTAACGGCTGAATACTAACGGAGTTAGTAAAAAGGGTCATCAGTGCAAGTTTTGCAAACCACAAGGACCATTTGCATCAGAAAAAATTAGCAGAGACTGACTTTGTGACTTTTGGCAAACCACAAGGACCATTTTTGTAATTTTGTCTAGATAAAAGCACCCCGAGCATCATGTTTCTATGATTATTATAGGGGAAATCTTCAAAAAAAGTCTCCATATTTACAGAAAAGTTACACTTTAGTCCTAAGTTTTTTGTTTTAACGAAAAAGTCCTGAAAACCGGTAAAAATTTGCAGTTTCACCCTTTGTGACCGGTTGAAACCGGTACCAAATTAATTTGGGACTATTTCCTAAACTAACCCAAAATATTGGGACTTTTCTGTAAACAAAAAATATTAGAACTTTTCTGTAAACAAAAATATTAGGACTTTTCTACAATCAAAACTCTTACTATTATTATTATTATTATTATTAAAAATATAAATAAGTACTAGGTGAACGTCGACGTAGCAGATCAGTTGATAGTTGTAGGAGGGATACAATGGGAAAACGAAAATTCGTTCTTTTCTTCATTTTGACATATTTTCTGCTTTAATAATGAAGTTCATCTTGGGTTGTGAGTTATAGTTGTCCCCTGGATTTGATTCAAAATTGGCTAGTAATGCATACCAAGTGTTCGATCATTGGTTAAGAGTTACAAATGGACCGAATTAGTTCTTATCAACCATTTCATGGATCAATGCATAGGTAATTGATTTTGAATTTAAAATTAAGATACAAACCAAAATTTGTTTATTGCAGAATATATTTTACATATTCTGAAGGTATGATACGATTTTTAGCAATAATATTCTTTAGAACGGATTAGTATATTTGTTAGCTTATGATATATATATATATATATATATATATATATATATATATATATATATTCTTTTTAGGTTTTAAAGATGTCATAATCGTTGTGGAAAAGAAAGAAATATGGAAAACAAGAGTGTATTTAATACACGTTTTCCATTGTATCCCTCCTACTACTTATTTATATTTTTAATAATAATAATAATAATAATAATAAAGGTTTTGTTTGTAGAAAAGTCATAATATTTTTGTTTACAGAAAAGTCATAATATTTTTTGTTTACAGAAAAGTCTCAATATTTTGGGTTAGTTTACGAAATAGTCCCAAATTAATTTGGTACTGGTTTCAACCGGTCAAAAAGGGGTTAAACTGCAAATTTTTGCCGGTTTTCAGGACTTTTTCGTTCAAAAAAAAATCTTGGGACTAAAGTGTAACTTTTCCGTAAATATTTGGACTTTTCTGGAGATTTCCCATTATTATATACTTGTATAAAATGTTTTGGTTACAACTTATTTTATAAAACTATTAAAATTTTTTTTTTAAGTATCAACAAATCCAATTTATTTTATAAAAGTATAAAACTATGTAATGTTTTTTAAGGATCAACAAATCTAATTTATTTTATAAAAAAACTATTTAATTTTTTTATGGTATCAACAAATCAGAGTTATTGTGTAAAACAATAAGGAGATTTTAAATATGTTTTCAAAGGGCAAAGAACTACTTCGTCTGGAGCAATTAAGGTTGCGTTTAGTTGCGAAAAAAATTGGCCGTTTTTCGGAAAAAAAAATTCAAGAAAAATGAGAATTTTTAAAACGAGTTTAGTTCATCTATTTTCCTAAATTTTTCACGGAAAATTTGTTTTCTAAAATTATAAAGAAGTTGAAAATTTTTGAAAAACCGATAATCATTGTTTTCCATATTTTTCTGATTCCAAAATTTTTTAAAATATAAACACACCCACTCCACCCCTACTCACCTCTACCTACCCCTACCTTTACACCCTCAACCCACCACACCCCTACCTACCCACACCCACCCCTACAAACACACACACCCACCCAACACCACTACCACAATCACTGACCTACCATCACCACTACCGACACCGCCATCACCACCACTGCCACAATTGTCGCCACCACCACCGTCGTCTGTCATCACCACCACCGCCGCTACCCCGCTGCCTCCGCCACCACCACCACCACCGTCGGCATCATCGACACCACCACTTCCTCCCGTCGCCACCCCCACCCCCTTCCTACCACCGTTTTCTAAAAATGAAAACTTATAGAAAAAGACACATTTAAACATGTTTTCTAATTTTCTAAAACTGAAAATGAAAAATGAATAAGTTTTAAGTAAACGCGTTTTCTAAATTTTCCAATGAAAAATGAAAACTGTTTTTCCGTAACTAAACGCAACCTAAATTTCTCAATTTTATCTTACATTTGGTCATTTGTTTGAGCTTAAAGGCGCTTGAATCTCGTTCTTTGCCTCAGAAAATCGGTTGTCTAAGAACTATGCAAGAACAGAAGTTGAAAAGAATATTGAGAGTATAGTGTTCGGATATTATAGTGTTTTGGTCATCAGTTGTCACATGTCTTAAGGTTGCAAATCCCCTAACGAAGATTCTTATGTGGGTTGATTCAGATTCTAAAGTGACAATATTTACCAAGCCATGGTAAATGCAAAGAAATAAATTAAAGCAAACTTTAAAGATGTCCAAGCAAGGTATCTTAATATTTAGTTATTTACATTTGTTTGTTTGTTTATATTTTTATGTACTAATTTAAATCAACTTCTCATATTATTTTTTTGTATAATTTTTAGGTATGAAATGATTCATAAGATCATTGATGATATATGGTACGATTAACTAAATAGGGCACTCGATATGACGAGTTATTATTTGAACTCAATGATGCAATATAGCCTTATTTTGAGAATACACATTGGATTAAAGGTATGTTTTATATGTCCCTGTAAACAATTTGTTGTAATGACAATCTAGCAAAAACAATTGATTGTCAATTTGATCGATTCATAAATGCAAAAGGACTATTAGGTGTTAATGTAGCCAAGCTAACTAGGAATCAAAAAAACTTCAGTTGATTGGTGGGATTCATATAGAGTTGACACATCCGAGTTGAGACAAATTTGATATGAGAATTTTGAGTTTGACATGTTCTTCGTCTGGTTGTGAAATGAATTGGAGTGCTTTTGAGATGGTAACTTACAAGTATCAACATTATTGTTTTATTATATTATTGATATTGATTTTCAATTATTTGTTTATTTTTTTGTTTATGCACATTCTAAAAGAAGAGGTCGACTACATCAGCGAAAGATAAACTATCTTGTATATGAGATGTACAGTTTGAAGCTAGCTAAAGGGTAGAGAAGAAAAAAAGTACAAGGAAAAGAACATGTTTTAATGGGAACTGACACGTTGAATCTGAATGATGTGAGTTTTGATTATGAGTCTTTTAATCATCATATAGATGAAGAGCATATTAAATTTAATACTTTTAAATTAAATTTTTTCTTTAATTCAAGTAAATTTTTTAAAATATAAAAGTGACAAAAAAATTAAAAACTTGTTACCGAATATATCTTAAATTATTTATAACATTTTTATTTATTATTTCATTAAAATAACAAAAGTAAAAAAAATGTTCATGTCACATCATCTATTCATTAACACACACTTAAAAGCTCCATGATAAAATGGATTATTTCATTATTTGAAACTTTACCACAACTTGAAAATAATATACGTGTGAAACTTACAAATACTTAACATAATAATAAATTTTTGAAAACTTGTAACAATTATTGTGACTTGACTATACGCTTGCAATAAGTCAAAAATTTATAGATATAGTATTCCAAGCTTGCTTAAAAGACACAGAAAAGTTTAAATATTGATGGGAAATACAACTGTCGTTTAGATTTCGTTGGCTAATTTTGACTTTATTTTTTAAAGTTATATTTTAACAAGCTTAGACAGTTAAAGTCCGTTTAAAATTCATAACCTTGTCACCCGGCGTCCGTTTCCGACCGTCTTTATATTGTTGAGCTCCTATTAATAAGGTATTCAATTCTCATTTAGATTGTTTCGGCTAATAATCGACCGATCTGAAATTCGATTTTTGAGTTCTATACTGCTACGCTGAATCTTCGAAAAATCATAACTTCCTCTAATGAAGTATGAGTTGGACGTTATCTATATGCACACTCTTGGTTTAACGACTACTACAAATTTCGTTTAGACCACTTAGGTTAAAAAGTAATTTATCAAAAATTTACTTTTACGATACGCATAACCGTGCCGGTTTAATCGTGAAACTTCAACGGGGCATAACTTCTTTGTTATAAGTCGGATTGGAGCTTTCTTTATATCTCCAAAATCCTTGTCACGACTACTTCGACTTTATTCAAATATATTAGGTCTAATTATTATTTTATTTTAGACGCGTATTTTATTTCTATTTTATTATATCGTTATAAACACATATATTGCACACAATTTACACATAAATCACATAATACTCAAATATTTCTTCCTTCATTACATCAAATAGGTTACAATTGTTGACCCTAACTATTACATCATCTTATTAACGTTTAGCGAGAAAACACGGGCGTTATAAGATCACACCACCCAAATCCATCAAGACATGAAGAAAAGGACAAATCAAGAGATCTAGTAACATAGCAAAGAAAATGTTGGATCTTGGACACTCATCAAGGTCCAAAAAATATCCTAGCTGAATGAAACGATGCTTTCCAAGTAACAACCACACCAAGGGCCTCCTTCTCCTTCAAAAATCACCACAAAGCACCAAGAATGAGCTCACAACTTCAATGGAGGATAAGGTTAGGGTTTATGAGTTTGAGAGGGTGATGGAGGTTGAATGATCACAAAGCCCTAGCCTTAATGTTCTTTATATAGGACCTAAATCCCGAAGTTAGGGTTTTGCACTAAAAACAGCTACCACGTCGTGACGCCTATGGCCACGTCGTGGTGGGTCATTTAAATCACGCGGTCCAAAACATCCCACCACGTCGTGGCCATCCAAAAAATAGAAATTAATACAAAACTTGATTCGTACCTTGAACGAGTGTTACAGATAATCCATGCAAGTGCATAAAGTTTGGAACTTTATCACTTAGGACATTTATTTAGACCAGATCTGAGAGTTGGACGTGGTGTCCTTATGAAATAAGCACGTAATGGAAAGTTTGGATTCAACGTAAGTACATAGGGCATACTTATGGCTATGCAGTGCGTAGCCTTGTTTTGTCCCGTAAAAGCCATCTGATGCTCTACGCAAGGCATAGAGCTGTTACGCATGGCATAACATGACTGATGTTGACTTTTTGACCGTTGACAGACTTTGACCAAGTTTGACTTTAGGTCAAATAGGGTAGTTTGAGTAGGAGATTGAGGCTTGGTCCCTATTTGATGTTTAGGTAATCTGTAGAGCAAATATTTGGAGCAGTGATCGGTTAAGCTATCTTCTAGACTTTAAAGTGAGTTTTCCTCACTATACTGGTGGGTCGAAGGCACCAATGCTGGACTACTAGGTTGTGTTATGTATCCTGGTATATAGGATGTTGCTATATTTTAATAACCTGTTAGATTGGTAGAATTGTATGATTACTTGTACTTGCTGATTATTGTTTATCGATTGCATTTGTCGACATATTTGTGGTGGGGTTGAGGCGGGAGGCCAACAAACCGTGGATGAGTGGGTTGATGTGGTACTGCTCCGTGCGATAGACCAACAAACCCTGAATGGTTGAGTTGACGCTATAAGCCAACAAACTCTGGATGGTTGGGTTGAGGCAATATGCCAACAAACCCTGGACGGTTAGGTTGAGGCCTTGGGGCAACAACCCCTATATGCATGTATTATAGTTGTTATTATTATTGTGTGGAGTATTTTGGGGGAACTTACTAAGTTTTGGCTTACAATTGTGAATTTTAATGTTTCAGGTACTTTAGATGATCGGGAGAAGACAAAAGTTTGATCGTACACATTATCCTACGAATTTTTATGATTTAAGAGATATTTTGATACTCTGATTTTATGACTATAATTTGGAAACAATGTTTTGTATGTTGTATGGTTTATGAAAATGGTTTCTGAAAAACAAAATTTTTTTATCATGATTTTTGAGATGTTGCATTATATACTTAAGAATGTTACAAAACAAGCCCTCAAGATTATAATATTTTTTTTCCCTTACTCATCATATCTAACTCCAATATTTAATTAATTTGTGTTTAATTATCTTATTAAGTTTGTTATTTTCCATAAAAAAATTGTTTTCACGAAATGGCCCGAAACTTATATGTCCAAAATCAAAATGTTACAACTTGGTTGACAACCAAGTCCAACTTTGGAATGGGGGACTTGATGATGTTTATCAGAACACATGATAAAACGACCACATAAATAGTTAGAACCTGCGAGCACGACGAGTAGTTACTAGACCTCACAATTCGTGTCTGCGCATTGTGTATACGTGTGCGACACGAATTTACATGACACGAATTTGACAGACACGACACACGACACAAATTGTAGAACGTGTCTTGGGAATCAAACACGAATACAACACATAATTAATATGTGTGACGCGTGACACGACACGTATATACACGTTTTTAATCGAGTTACACGAAAACACAGATAAACACGCATTTAATTTGTGTCTATATGTGTATATACATGTATTTACGTGTCACGTGTCACATGTTTATACGTGTCACATGTTGTATGTTTATACGTGTCAAGTGTCAACACATTTAATTCGTGTCTTTACGTGTTTAAACAGGCAAATTCGTGTTTAACACGTGTAAGACATGAAATATGAATTTAAAATTTGAATCGACACAAATAGCCACATAATACTAATTTCTACAACACATTCATGGAAAACTTGTGTCATGTTCGTATCATGTTAATCATGTTGCGTATCAAATTTCCGGGTCTAGCTGTTACCGTCACATAAAAGACCTCAAGTCTAACCAACCATAACCGTCACATGAAATACTCCAAGTCCAACCAACCCAACTTCCTTATGAAGGACTTTAGATTTAGTCAATTGTAGCTATCATATATAGGACCCCAAAGCCTTATAGTCATAATCGTCATATATTGATCATTTACGCTAGATAATGTGCCAAACTGAAACCTCTTAAATGCCTTCATACAAAACATTAAATAATGTCAGTCTAATCGCTATGACAAAGCAAGATATGCATTTATGACGATATATCATTATAAAGACAGTCTAACTATAATACTTACCAGAATATAAATCATTTATGGGAGGGTACACTTGCCACACCCAAATAAGGAACTCATTGGGAAAATGCACCAACACTAAACATATATATTTTCTTTTAAAGAACCGTTTCTTCTCAAATAAGACAAGTCTGGTAAACCCTATCACCTATAAAGGTCTTAAGCAAATTCTTTATTTGAGGTAACATCACATTCTTTATATCCCATATTTTCATTCTCACTACATTCACTAAATTGACCATCTAATCGGAATCTTGAAATCAACTCCGAGACCCGGATAATAGTTTGGTTTAATTGTCAGGTCGGCTGGACCTATACAAGTCAATAGTGCAAAGAAATGAAACCACTCTAATTAGGTCTAAAACAGTGGCTATAATTGGTTGAAGATGTGGCATCAGTTCTTGAAAGTAAGGCCTTCTTGTATACACACCACGAGAAGGCTCGTGGTGTGTATACACCTCATCATCTTCTTCTTCCACCCTCCTTCAATTCTCAATCTGGCATACTCATAACAAATGAATGTGGTTGTGATGGGTTTAAGCTGCAAGAAAGAAGAAGAGAGGAAGAGAGAAGAAAGAGTCTGTGGTGGATTGTGGTGGCCAACACGAGAGGCCACGCTCGTGGTTCCAGATCAGCACCACTAGAGGACCGAAATGGTGTGTACGGACAACGACCGTGGCCACCTGGACCACGAATTGCTTCGTGATGCCCATACTAGACGGCCTAATATGAAAACCATACACAACTCAAGTTTTTTTTTGCCATAGAGAGTAGTAGATATCGAAAAGACATAAAAATAAAAATAAAAAATAAAAAATAAAAAATGGATGGGGATGTAGACTCCTAAAATGACATCGCAAGTAGGTTTGCAATGGCGTGTCAAATTTACAAACTTAAACAAGGCCAAAAAAGTGAGCCAGTGTCAAAATGCGTGACGCCATTTTAGAATTTTAAAACGATACCTACAATCCGACTAGAGACTACTTGAAAGTGAAAACCTCCATCAATCCTAGGTATATAAATACTCGAGATGCACTTTACATTTTCAAATCCCGCCGGCTTCTTCTCACTGCTCAAAGACCTATAATCTCGATCTCACTGAACACTGCTGCTCCGATATGACCTTCTACTTGTTCAGGTTAAGCTCCGGCGATGTGGCTGGATTCAAACTGCTGTTTTCATTGGCGATTATCTATGGATTGTTGTCGACGGTAGCGTATTACGTTACGCACATGAAATTTATTACGCCTTTAGGCATCGACGCTCCTCTAGATCGGTTTTCTGAAGCCAGAGCTGTTGAACACATCCGCGTTTTGGCTCATGAAATTGACGGTCGTCAGGTACACATACACTTTGTGTATTGATCGTAATTATAAGTTTACGTATCGTTTTACTCAACGGCGGTGTTAATTAATGGAAAGAGGTTTTGAATTTATATAAAAAGAACGCGTATATACATCCATATTGTCTTTCCGTTCTAAAGTGAAACTAGTTGGCGTAAGTGACATGCTTGCGGAATCTGGATATCATTAATGGAGCCACCTTTGGCGTTTAGATGGGTTACCTCTGTTAACTTGTCATCATGATTCTAGTTTTGGGAAGTATTTTGGTTTCCAATCCTTTGATTTGTGCTTTACCTTATTTAGGTTGATAACGATTTGCTCTAAATTTGGTTCATCCACTGAGTCATCACATATGATTCCACGTTAAGGGTAGTTTTGAAGCTAGACAAGCTTAGCTTTCATCTGACATTCTTATGTTATTAATTATGTCACTGTCCATGTCTAAGAAGAAACAAAGATAGTAACAGTGGTCCATCTGAAGAAAAATAAAATGAGAACTTTAAAAGGGAAATTGAAGTTAACTGGTAATGTGGTATGCACAGATGGAACTATAAACTTTTAGATGAATTTGTAACAAAACAAGCTGATTGACCATTTGACTGATTGGTGAACATATATGGACTTTAATTGTTGTCTTCCTCTCACATGCTGGCAGTGAAAAACCATACAAAACTTTAATTGAATCAAAAGCCCTTAAGTTGTTTGTTCTTGATTAATCTTAATGGGTGATTGATGATAGGAAGGGCGTCAAGGTTTACATGATGCTGCCAAATATATTAAGACACAATTGAAAATGCTGAAGGCTCGTGCTGGATCTAATGTAAGGTTGGTATACGGATGTATGTTTTCGTTTGTTCTTTTTAGAAGAATATATGCAACTAATAAAGGTTTATTTTTTTTTCTTTCGACTGTTTCAGGATTGAAATAGAGCAAGATGTAGTGAATGGCTCTTTCAATATGATGTTTTTAGGTCACAGCTTGTCCCTTGGATATAGGAATCACACCAATATAGTAATGAGGTACTTCAAGATACTGTCAACTGACCATGATCATATAGAGTTTCTTCATTAGAATTCCCCATGGGTATAACTTGAGCTAACTTGCAGGATTTCTTCATTAGAATCAAAAGATACAGACCCTTCCATTTTATTGAATGGACATTTTGATAGTCCACCTGGATCTCCAGGTGCTGGTGATTGTGGTTCATGTGTTGGTAGGCTTCATTTCTTGAACTTTTTTACTTTTGTTTTCTATATTCATCTTACAAATATATTTTAAATTTCATCATTTTTTGTTCACTTGCAGCATCTATATTGGAGATAGCAAGGCTAACAATTGATTCTGGCTGGGTTCCTCCTAAACCACTTATTTTTCTGTTCAATGGCGCAGAAGAACTTTTTATGCTTGTAAGTTCTTTATGATATACTTTCAACTGTAAAAAGAAGAAATCACAAAACAAAGGCTTTCTATTGGATGCTACAATTGTGATTTTTAATCTAGATACTTGCTTTTTAGGGTTCACATGGCTTTATAACAACTAATAAATGGCGCAATACAATTGGAGCTTTTATAAATTTGGAAGCATCTGGGAATGGAGGGCTTGGTAAGTAGTTGAAGCCTGTTCAAATGTATTTGTGCCTTCTTAAGATTATGGCTTTCTGCGTTCTGGTGTGATTATGTTCTTTGAGGTTTTTATATTCCAAAGAATATAATTATTAATTAATATTTAAAATTACAGATTTTGTGTGTCAATCTGGACCTGGGTCTTGGCCTTCAAAAGTCTATGCTGAATCCGCCATACGGCCTATGGGCAATAGTGCAGCTCAGGTTTTACAATTCTCTATTGCTTCAAGGACAAATTATAATTTGTGGATTGCTTATACCTTTTGTTTCAAGTCTTATAATTTTATTTGACAATTTTGACATCATTCTATAACTATATTATTTAATTATACTTGTAGAAATCATTAACGATCAAAGCTAACTTAAAATCAATGTTGGTTCTTAGTTTGTGCTAAAGTTAGTACCAATGTTACTCATTATTCCTTCCATTTGTTAATTTCCATTCATTAGACACTTACGGTTTTTATTTTATTTTTATTTTTATTTTTTTAATATTTTATATCATTGAATGGATTAATAAGTTGTAATATAACCTGGTTTTATTTTAAATTTTTTAAAGACACAAATCTTTGTCAAGAATTTCATGATTTTTAGTTTAAATCATAATTTTATTTTCTAATTATAGCTAGAAATATTTTTTCATTGTAATATCAGTTGGCTTTCACCGAGTTTCTATTATGCTTAATTTTTTAGCTTTGACAATAATATATTCTATAAACCATTACATTTTGCGCACTTTTATGATTTAAGCACCAATACTTTATCTTTTCCAATCAAACCATAAAAGTTTCAGCTTTCTTTTTCAAGTTAATCACTTTGACCTGAGGATCAAGGTCAAAATTGTCAATTTGAAAAATCTGAAAAAAATGGCACAACATCTTTTAGTGAAACCTGTGATCACAGATTAAAATTTCCAATTTGAAAAAATGTCTGGAACTTAAATTGGAAAAAAGAAAATGAAGTGTCCATGGTTAAACCACACCACAAAAGTGCCCAAAATATAATGTTTTTTTTTTTTCTGTAATTCTCCCAGTAATATATAATGAATACTGTTAAAACTATACCTTGTATTTACAAATGGGGTTAATCTCATAAAAGACCTTATATTTTGTGTTAATTTTCCTGATTAAACCTCATCCTTAATTTTTTTCATGTAAAAGCCCTTATATTTTTTCATTTTTTCCGAAAAAACCCTCAACTTTGTCTTTTTTTTTTTTTTTTTTTTTTTTCCGAAAAAAACCCTCAACCTTTTAAATGTTTCCAAATAAATCCTCAACTTTTCTAGTTTTTCCTGAAAAAACCCTCACATTTTACAGCTTTTTTAGAGAAAAATGACTAAAAGGGTCGCATCGGAAAAAATGAAAAAAAATGCAAGGACTTTTTAAACACAAAATATAAGATCTTTTATGAGATTAACCCTTTACAAATAATATAAAACAAATAGTAGTAGGTAATTAGGTATGAAGTTGTGAGTTAATAATTTATGTATTTGAGTGTAAATTTTATTTGTAGGACATATTTTCTTTTGTTCCTGGGGACACAGACTACAGAATGTTTGCCACTGACTTTGGGGACATTCCTGGGCTGGACATTATCTTTCTCCACGGGGGTTATTTCTACCACACCTCAACTGATTCGGTAGAAAGATTATTGTATGACTTACCACTGCTACTTTGGTACACTTCACTAATTTTCAATTCCATGACTACCCTTCTCAACTCAAATCTCTAATTCATTCACTTCTTTTTTTTTATTTTTTTTATTTATCCACTAGACCTGGAAGCATCCAAGCTCGTGGGGATAACTTATTCAATCTTGTCAAAGCCTTCACCATTTCACCTAATCTAAAAAATGCACATCAGAGGGGACTTTATAGAGACTCTGGTGTTTCAAAAGATGATGAGCAGCAGCCTATCTTTTTCGATTACGTATCATGGTTCTTGGTAGGCTTCTATGCTCTTGACTGTAAGGGTAATTTGGTCATTTAGTCACTTTATCCATACAAGACTTACGTGTTGTTTCTATTTTAACTTAATGGATTCAGTTATTCACATTTTCCATTTGTTTTCAATCTTGTAATCTTCTATGTATTAAAATCTCTTCCTTTTTTTTTTTTTTTTTTTTTTTTTCCTTTGCTGTTTTTTATGAATCAAGAAACCTCAAATATATTTCCACAAATTTTTTTTTTTGATCTAAAACTTAACTTGAATAGTTTGACCAAAATTTTCCACTGAGAATGCATGTACAAACTACAACCAAACGATTAAAAAAAATCCCAGAAACGTAGGTTTTTTTGTTGGAAAAATTCAATATGGTCTTTTTATTTAATTTGTTATTCTTTCTTCTTTTTATTAATTTTCCTTACCTATATTTTGATGTTTTTTTATTTGACGGTTGATCGTTTTTAATTTATTTAATATGGCCATTTATATTTTATTATTTCTCATTATGTTATTTGTTATTAATAAATAGAAGGGTAAATTAGTCATTTATTCATATTCAGACAGTACAAATAAGAAACACTATTTATATCAGCAACATGTTATCCACTCAGACATCATTATCCATTCAGTATGCTTTATCAGTTCAGGACACAACAGGAAAAAAAGAAAAAAAAGAAACAGGGCCTTAATGGGACAAAGAAAAAGAAACAGGCTCTTTCTTTTTCTTTAGTAGTTGAATAAAAGATTTTTGTTTTCTAAATCTTGTTATTTATAAAATTCAGGTTTACTATTCTAGAAAGCAAGGGATGATATTTCATAGTATGCCTGTTGCCATCTTTCTACTTATTCCATTTTTTATGTGGTTTTCAAAGTGTGGCCTGAAATGCTCATTTGCTGCCTTATTTGACAACATTAAAGGTAAGGTAGTAAATTAAATTCTTTTGAAGTTTAAACTCTTGTTTATTTTGAGCTAATAATTGTAATTTGATCTTTTGGGGTATTTCAGGAATCTTGTTTCATCTTATTGGGATTATTTTTGGAGTTATATTCCCAGTTGTCTTTTCTATCTTGAGGTTGTTATTCTCCGCACAGTCAATGAACTGGTGAGTATTCTTTTTATTTTTCTTAATTGAAAAAATGATTTGTTAAAAAATGTAAGATTAAACAATGATTACTGTAGGTTTGCTCATCCTTATCTGGCTTATATGATGTTTGTTCCATGCTCACTTGCTGGGATGTTATTTCCAAGAATCTGTTGGAACTATTTTCCTCTCTCTCAAGCTCCTTATCTTGTCAAATCATCAAAACAGGTTTCTTTTTTATTTTTTGCAAGTCCTTTAATTATATCAAGAAGCTTCATCATCAATAACTGAAAATTTTACGCTTTAACTAATGGGTTTGTTCTGAAAATTGCTGGATGTGGCAATAAAATGTTAAATAAAAGAGACAAAGTCTCATAATACGAATCATAAAATAGATAACTAAAGTAGAAAGTATGTGCTGTATCATTAAATATTAGAAAACATATGATATAAGTCATAATTCCTTTGGGTTCCAATTTATTCAGATTCTAATTTCTTTTAACAGATTATATTCCTTCAAAAACATGATGTGGACTTTCTTAATTTATGCTTCTGAATTCTCATATTTGATATTGTTTTTCAGGAACTTATCGATGAATCCCGGTTCTGGGGTGCGTTTGGCTTATATGCACTCATCAGCATGGTGTGTGTTATTTATTATTTTTATTTAAAATCATTAAATTTCCTGTTTTAGCAGATTGGTTTGATTATTTTTTAATTTGAAATCCAAGCAAAAGTGTCACAAGTAAAAACTAATGCAAGCTTTCTGAATGCAGGCTTATTTTAGTGCTGGATTAAGTGGAGGTTTCTTGACTTTATCTTTAGCTGCTTTAATGATTCCTGCATGGATTTTCTTCCATTTATCTGTCAAGTATTATGGTCGTGAATCACTAACGTAAGCATTACAATTTCAGTAAACTTTAATACTGTTTGGTGCGATGGAATCAGGGAAGGAATGGAATTGTTCATTCCATGGAATGTAAAATTGCAATATAACCGAAATTTATCTGTGTAGTGTTTAAGGACATAAATAACCATTTTATATTATTAAAGTAAGTAGAAAATATATTTTTGTTATAATCATGTTTTAGGTTTTAATTTCTAAGTTAAATTGTTACTCAGGTCAGCAGCATGTTTTTTGGTACCTACATTACCTCTACTCTTACACAGTGTGTATTTTTCGGTGTTTCTAGTCCAATTTTTAATTGAGAAAATGGGTATGATGGGGTCCATTCCTCCACCTCATGGTTAGTACTATAATTTCTCAAAATTGATTTTCATAATTCCTCATAAACCCTAAATGTAACTGAGATATATATATATATATATATATATATATATATATATAATATATTTTTTTTTATACAGGGTACTTTGTTCCTGATGTTATAGTGGCTGCAACTATTGGAGCATTGACCGGTGTGTGTGTGGGACCCATTTTACCAGTTACTGGTCATTGGTTGGCCAGATCATCTATTATGCAGTTCTTGTTACATGCCACTGTGATTTCCATGGCCCTCTCTTCACAATTTTTTCCATACACAATTGATGCCCCAAAAAGGGTTATTTTACAGCATACAGTTGTCACTGCAGGTATTTTAATTTTAATCAAACCTGTTCAAAATTTTATATTGTTTGTAAGTTAGTGTCTGGTTTAAGTTTAACCACTTCAAGTTTGTTTTATTTTTTACAAAAAACGAGTAAAGAACACTACATAAAACTTTAATTTCTATAGACAACTGTAGTTTGGAAATTTTTTTTACAGCATACTGTTGTTACTGCAGGTATTTGAAGAAATCTTTTTTATTTTTTATCCATTAAAACAAAAAAAAAAGTAAAAAAAAAAAAAACAACTGTAACCAGAAAAATATTCTTCCTAATTTTTTTTGCAATTCCTTTCAGGAAAAAATAAACTCAGTGGTTAAACCATAAACAAATTCTTTCAGTTGTTAAACCAAACTAAAGCTGTTTCTATGGAATTTGGCCTTTTAATAACAAAATGACATTTCTTTATTATAATTATAACTTCTTTGAGAATAATGAACTTTCATTATGATTTATTTTTTATTTTTGTGAATAAAAGTTTGTTAATTGTAATCAAAATAATGCAAAGAATAGAGTTAAAGCTATACCTTGTATTTCCAAACAATATAAGAACACACACACACACATTCCATCCAACCAAATCTCTTTTTGTTTTATCTTTTTCCAACTTAAATTATTTTTTCACTTTTTTCTCATAAACAGATTCTAACCTCTTTTGATTAACAGATGCAGGACAAATTGATGACATCAGCTTTGATATATCTGTATTGGACTCCAATGCATTACCTTTCCTTTTCAAACATGCTCCTGAAGTAGCAAAACACCTCAATATAGATTCAGATTTTTCATTCAACACCGCTAATCAGTCTTACCGAGAGTCCTGGATGGTAAAACAGTAAAAAATATTTACTTTTTAAATTTTTTTTTTTTTTTTTTTGTGAATTATTTGTTCTGTAAGGAAGGTGGAGTTATGGAGTTTTTTCTTTTTGTCAGGCAATATATCCCCTGTCTGATTTGTTTTCAAGAAGCTTGAAATTCCCTGCTAATAGAGATGAAATCTTGAAGAATTATAGTTATTTTCCTCATATATCAACTACTAAGCAACAAACTACCTCCATTGATGGGTCCCGCAGAGTTTACTTGGAATTTTCTTTGGGGTATGCTTTCTTTCTTCCATTGGAATGAAAAAAAAAAAAAAAAAAAACTGTTTGTTTTGCCTGATGGAATGGAACATCTGATTTCTATCGTTTTGTTAAATTTCATTCTTTAGGCTGGGGTGTTCTTTTTTATAGATAATAATGCTCAGGTTTTATATGTTAAGTTTTTAATTAAGAATCTTATGGTATTAATTAGATTATAATTATTTTTTCTAAAAATAAGTAGAAAATGTTTTCTTTATTATAAATATTATAACGTAAAAAACCTGTATTGAGGTTCATTCCATTCCTACAGACCTAGTGCTTATATGTTTTTATTAATACATTAAAAGTCTGTTCAATTATAACATTAAAAATTTCCTTGTATTTAGATGACACTGCTTTAATAAAGAAATATAAGAAAGTACATTGCTATTTATTGCATCTTTTGCTGTTGTCCATGCTCAGTTCCTTGAAGGAGGTATGGGTTACAGTCCTCAACGTTACAGGCCCAATTTCCGGTTGGTCATTTGCAAACGCTACCCTTCCAGGTAATTTTTGTCCTATTCACATACACAGTCACAGTCACAGTCAGAGTCACAATCACAGTATTTTTTTGACTTTTTGCAGCGCCTGAAATTGTTAAAGGGGCCCCTCCATCATATATTTGTAGACTTAGTGGTGTAGCCAAGGAAAACTGGACCTTTTGGTTGGAGGTAATTTAATATTCTATTTATTCAATAACAGTAACACACCTTTATAAAATTTATATAAAATCAGTATTTATTTATTATTTTCTTTATAGACAAATAGTCCCGGAGATATTCGTATTGAAGTTGGTGTTGTAGAACAATACTTGATGGAATCAATGAAGAAATTAAAGAATAGTTTTCCAGAGTGGGTGGATGTCATTGCATTTTCAAGTTTTTTGTCCACGTATATCTTTTAGTTTAGTACCAAACTTACATTTATTTATATTGTGTTGTTTTAGTTTCAAACTGTCTTAATATCATTTATTTTATGGTAGCAATATAGGTAGTCACTTTGTTATAGTACTTGAAAATGTGTTGATTTGGTGATACTCACATCCTATTTATTGTCATTTTAGTGAATAGCTCATTTTTACGTATAAACATAATCTTGTAGCTTAAAATTCTTCATCTTAAAATTCGTGAAGATTAGTAACATATCGAGTGCTAGTCATCAATTCAACATTTTGACTTCTATGGATGTGAATCTTCATTCGGTTGTATGTTGGAGGGTATTGCTTTGTTTCATAACAAATACTTTATGAAACTAATCAACGGCTTAAAGTTAATTATCAGAGTGAAATCAAAGAGAAGAACAAGATTGTTCATTGTATTGAATCTTGAAAGTGAAGACAAGTACAAAGCTTTTATACAAACTCAGACTAATTAACCAATTATCTAACAACTAGCTAATACTAGTTAAGTTAACATTATTCGTGTTCCTCCCTTTTTATGTATATTTTGATCTTAAGTTCGGTAGTTGGATTTGTAATTTATTTTATTTATCATTTGTCGTTGTCGGTAGGTTAAATGTAAAGTATCGATAAATTATTTGTTGTTATCGGTAGGTTAAATGTAATATGTCGAATGTGACGTAAAGTAGGTAAGATGTAACATAAAGTGTAAGACCCTTGATAGTCTAGGGGTCTAAATTGTAAAAATAGGTTTGTCGTGTTGCAATCATACCATTGCTCTCAATTATGTAACCGACTCTTTAGAGCCTACAAATAGGGCATTTTCCTGTATGAAATAAACAAGGCGTTTTGAGTGTTTAAGACTTGAGTTGAATCTCAAAATTCTTCATTTGTTGAAATAGTTTGTCTATTTGTGAATAGCAGAGCCCCCTATCCAAAACCATCCATATAATCATCCAATATAATCCAAACAAATTAATCCAAATAATTTTATCAAAAGATCATCCCGACACACCCTCTGTTCGATTTGGTATCAGAGCAAGGTATCGTTCTTACTATGAATTCTCATCGTTATTTGTCATGCATAATCATCACAAGATATCATTCATCGTTTCATGAATATATGTTAATCATGCATCATTATAAATTTCATATCATAATCATCATAAAAAATAATAGTCATAATAAACTTCACTATCACCATCATAACTAAATTATTGTTCTTATAAATATAATCATGAGTTTTTCAAGTCTAAACATTAATAAACAAGAATTAAATTTTTTTCGTAAAACACTAAAACAATCTAAAAAATTTCTTCTAGATTTAAAAAAAGATTCTAACATATCAATAATAAATTGCATATCTAATATTAAAGCAATACATATAATAGATAATAGTATAAATTGAAAACAAGAACAAATAAAAAATCTTGAAGATAAGATAACAAGATTAATCTTTTAAATATGTCTCAAGAAATAAAAAATTCACCAATAATGATTAATAACGAAGAAAATGAATCTGAATACACTTTTGACGCTCTAATTAATAAAAATAATATTAATAAAGATGCTATAAGAAAATCAAATTTTACACTATCAGAAAAACATAATTTTAGAAATAACTCATTAAAAACTTATTTTCAAGAAAAAATATTATTTACAATGGAAAAATTATAGGAGAAGAACCAATACCCATAGAATCAACTCAAGAAAATATTATTATACCTATAATAAATAAACAACAAATTAGAAATAAATTATCTAATATTAAATATTTAGATAGAATAAAAATTGCTTATTGACATAGATCAACTATTCAAGTAATTTTAAAAAGTACTTTTAGTGACTTAGATACACCATTAGAATTAAAAATCAGAGATGATCATATAATTAATAATCAAGAAAGTATTATTGCAAAAGGAAAATGTAATTTAATTGAAGGAAAAATAAAATTTAATATTAATATTCAACTAGGATTAAGTCTTAAAGATAAAAATCTAAGTAATAGTATTACCGTACGATATAAATTATTAAGACAAAATTTTATGTTAAAAGGTAATCATCCATTTACTATTACATATCAAATAAATTATGCATTAACAAATTCTCATCATAGTATTACGTTTAAAACAGAAGATAGAATTTATATAGATAAATTATTTACCCCTTTATTATCACTTGAATCACCAAATATAACTAATAATATAATATTTAATGAAGCTAATTTTCAACCAATAATAACCACTCCGTTAATAAAAAGAAATCCAATTATAGAACCTCCAATTTCAACTATAATATGTAGATCCTCCATCTCGGAATGTCAACCTACAACATGTACTGAAAATCAAAATGAAAAATTAGAAGATATTAAAGAAATGATTAGATCATTAAGTTTAAGAATATGACATAATCATCTAGTAATTTCTTAAAATATTTTAAAACACTTGAAGACTCATATCAAAATACAAAACCATGCATACCAGATAAAAAAATGATTATAGAAATACCACAAAATTTACCACAAGGAACAGTATATAATATTGGTCTTATTTCTGAAGAAGATAAACCAATAGGAGATAAATTAAATATAATTAATCAAAAATTAAATAATATTATAGAAATAGAAAGTTTACTTGTATTAAAACAAATTCCTGAATTATTACAAAATCTAACTCAACATAAAATATTACTTGAAAAATATTTAAAAATAAAACCGATTAAAGAAGAACCACTTAATGAAAAACCACCACTTACTATTAAACGACCTTTCACATGGTAAATAAAATTATGAGCAATAAAACTCAAGTATACTATAATTTCGATAATAAATATAAAGTTAATTAACTTAAAATATTATGGAAAAATTTAGAAAATTCCGCAGAACATTTAAAAGAAAAAGAATCTGAAATACACGAATTAATTTCTAAAAACAAAAATTATATTGCATATCAATTAATTCAAATTGGAAGATTAAGAACTCAAATTAATCATTTTAAAATAATAATAAAAAATAGTAATAATTCAATTAATTTTCTTTCAGACGCTTTAATAATTTGTTAAAATGAATTCAAAAGTACAAATTAATTCTTCAAAAGATAACATGCTATGGACTAATATAATAAAAAATCATTGGAAAATAAATTCTAATATCTCTAATACTATTCAACATTTAGAAGATACTTTATCATATGAAGAAAACTATTTATTAAGATTACAATCAGAAAATGAAGAGTATAATAATCAATTAAAAAAGATATCTCGATTACAAGAAGGAATTAAGAAATACAAAAAATCACAAAATCGTAATTTAAAAACAATACGCAATGTTTCAACCATCATAACAAAAACAACTTGTTAATACATTAATTAAATACAGATATAGAAATTTATAAACTGACTCTAATGAGTAGAAGAAAAACAAATATTAACTCAAACAGTACCTTTATTACAACTAAAATACAAGATAAAGAACTAGTTTCATATATAGATACAGGAGCGACTTTATGTTTTGGAAGAAAAAAGATATTAAAAAATTGGGAAAAATTAGAAAAACCATTAAAAATTACAATTGCTGATAAATCAATTCACAAAATTTGGTTCGTAGGAAGAGACATAGATATAGTAATTGAAAAAACACCATTTAAAACTCCAACTATATATCAACATGATTCGGGAATAGATTTAATAATAGGAAATAATTTCCTTAAATTATATCAACCATTTATACAAACAAATGATCATATAAGTCTCAATCACTCGACAAAAGGTATTATAAAAACTGCAATTATCAAACATTCTGATCTTATTAAAATAATCAAACAAGAAGTTGGTTTTCAACTACGCATATTACTAACGTTTGCTAAAGAAATTGCTGAAAAACAACTTGAAGAAGTATGTAGTGAAAACCCACTAGATCATTTAAAAAATAGAAATAATCAAGAAATAATAATATTATTAAAAAACCCTAATGATGAAGTTAATGTTCCAAATAAAATTCCATATAGTATAAAAGATGTTTCCGAATTATGAATGGAATGTCCTTCCATTCGGTTTAAAGCAGGCCCAACAATATATCAACGATTCATGGATGAAACCTTAAATGGTTTAGATCATATTTGTCTTGCATACATTGACGATATAATTGTTTTTACAAAAGGAAATGAACAAACACATATCGATGCAGTTATCAAAGTTTTACAGAGAATCAAAGAAAAATGTTTAGTTTTATCAAAAAGGAAATCAAAACTTTTTCAATCCACAGTTGAATATCTTAGTTTAAAAATTGGAGAAAATGGTCAACTATCTTTAACAGACAACATACGAGAAAAATTAAATATGTTTCCTGATAAACTTGAAAATAGAAAACAAATACAACGATTTCTTGGATGTTTAAGTTATATTGCAGAACAAAGATTTTTGAAAAATTTAGCAAAAGAAAGAAAAGTTTTACAAAAGAAAATATCAGAAAAATACCTTGGTCTTGGACCAATACAGATACTATTTTGCTACAAAATATAAAACAAAAAATTCAAGTTCTCCCTACTTTATATAATTCAAAAACTAACGATTTTCTAATTGTGGAGACGATTGCATCACAAGATACTTGGGCAGGATGCCTAAAAGCAATTATACATGGAAAAGTATTATTGGGACTAGATAATGAGGGAAACCTCGTATCTGACCCATCAAAAGTATACATTGATAAAGCATACAATGGTATGAAAATACCATCCGAAGTATATACAATGATAAAGCATACATTGATAAAGCATACAGTGGTATGAAAATACCATCCGAAGTAAATATTGATAAAGCATATAAAGTATACAATGATACGAATGTATCATCTGACACATTGAAGACAGATAAATATGAGCACAAATTATGCAAGTATATATCGGGAACATTTTCCCAAACGGAGCAAAATTACAGTACACATGAACGAGAAACATTAGCTTGTTTAAGAACATTGAAAAAATGGAAAGTCGAGCTACTACAAACTAGATTCGAGTTACAAACAGATTCCAAGTATCTACTTGGCTTTTGGCGATATAAATTACAAGAAGATTATTGTCGTGGGCGATTGATTCGTTGGCAATTACAATTACACCAATTTCATCCATATCTCAGATACATCAAAAATGCCAACAATCATATAGCAGACACATTGGCGAG